AACAAAACTCCAATATAAAAAAGAAAAACATAACACAAATAATGGAAGATATCCCATCCCTAGTGCTATATATCAGAGCGACTCCTCTAGGATCCAAAGATAAAATCTAAAGGGGGGCATCGACGCCATCCTCTAACTCAGCGGCTACTTCTGTACCTGATTAACTGTACTCCCAAAGAGCACAAGCGCCACATCAACAAATAAGGGGTGAGAATACATCTAACAAATGTTAACGGAGAAATTTAACAAAGTAGGATAGTAAAAATGAAATATAAATCATCTCAATCACACTCGAACACAAACAAACTAAATAACAGCGTAATGAAATGCTAATTCCACCAACTCATTCTCAAATGCATGTGGTACCAAAATCATTGTGATCAGAGGTATGTTACTGATATTTTCAGGTCTTCGGTTTCTCACTGAACTGTGTCCCTCTCTGGATAGAAGAATGTCATAGTTCCTCTCTAGACAAGGACATCATTGGACCAAAGTCTTACCTCTCTCTAAAATAAATGAATGCGTGATTTTAAACAACACAAACATGCAACAACATCAACATCACAAAATCACAAGATCGCAAATCTCAAAAACATTCTAAAAAATGTTTCACTCTTGAACTTATAATCGCCATACCCATACCATCACTATAATTTCTTTGGGTTACTATACTCAAAATCGTCAATAAAGGCTTCACTGTAATCCCTCTCTGGATTAATATGCTTAAATCACCAATAAAGGCCTCACTATAATTCCTCTCTGGACTATTATGCTCAAAAATATGTTTTTAAAACAATTTCAATTATTTCTCCTCGAAAAGGTAAATTTATGTTATTACTCTAAACTTCAACTCATCAAGACACTCATTTAACTCAAAAGGTCTCAAAATTTATAATTTTTAAAATGTCTCCGAAACTCATAATTTCTCAAAAACTCATATTTTCTATAAAAAATTCTCAAAAACTCATATTTCCTCAAAATTCTCAAAAACTCATATTTTTTGAAATTCTCAAAATCTCGTATTTTCTCAAAATGTCTCAAAAACTCATCAATAGACTAACTCACTATTATTATTATTACTTATGTCAGACCATCAACAAGGTAATAACCCTTAACACCAAGGTATACCAACACAACTCTAAATCATATAAGAGTTACTCAAATGTAACTCTAAGACATATCAAACTAAAAATCACACCCTCGCAACTCTAAATAGCTCAAGACTACTCAATAACAACTCTAAACTCATAAAACAACCGCAAAATATGCTTCCTACTAGTCACACATCATATTCGAATATTTATTTAAAATACCAAACGGAGTCAGAATCAAGCAAATGAATATGTTCTAGAAATATTAGAGAGTTTATTTTAAGAATATGATTTTTATTTCAGGACTTAATACACCAATTGATTTAGTTTAATCGAACAACAAGAATGGGTATTCACATTAGGCGAAATGTTTCGCCTGATTTCAAAATGGCGCCAAAAATTTCATACTTATGAGAAAATTATGAAAACTTCTAGTTAAAAAGATCATTAAATCCTATTTCTAACGCAATTGACGACATCCCAAAAGGTCTTACGAAACTCAAGTTATGTCTGAACCATGATGACCAACACAGGACTACAAATGACTATGCCTCTGGTATGAAAACCCGTGAATTGTTATTGTTGTAGCGATCCTAGACCAATTTCTCTACTTTAAAAGAAATATTATCACGTTAATTTTCCAACTCTTCGAACCGCACCTTAATTTAAATCTCGAAACTCAAGACATGTCTGAAATAAGGCAGTCAATCCCGTTCTAAGTCTATCTGCGATTTTTCTACCTATTGAACATATTTAAACTCCCTTATTTGAGTCCCAACCACCATCAAATGTATTGATATTGATTGAAAATATATATTTTGATGCTCTTTATGGTGGAGTATGATTATCGGTGAAGACAACGAAAATTAATGTATTATTTTTAATCAAGGTAGAGATTGTTAGGGTTGGTTGAAAATATACATGTCGAAGAAGTATTACATTGCTTAGTTTTTTTAATTAAGAGAGAGTCCAAGGCTATATATAGGATACAAGTTCTTTGAAGTCTCACGTCGCTTAGCTTTGTGAAGGAAAAGGGAGTCCAAGACTATATATAAGATTCAAATTCTTCATTCTAATATGTACCCGTCAAAAGCATTTTAATCTTATATTTGACTTTCTTTGTTCTCTTATACTCTTGTATTATAGTGTTTTGATATGTAGTTAAATATTTGTTTTGGAGGGTGTGAGTCTATTAGGGGTCTGAGTTAGTTGAGGATATATTATGTATTGTAATAATTTTCACATAGTGTTATTTCTTTGGTTGTCTATTGACAACGATCGTGGTTTTTCTATAGTTTTGGAGTTTTCATGTTATGTTATTGTGTTCCTTTTTTTCTCTATGATTTGTTTGTTTGTTTTTTCAACAACTGATATCAAAGCTTTTGGTTTGATCTGAGGATAAATGTTCTTAGTATGTTCCGTGGTTGCAGTTTTGTCTGATCTTCCACATCAGAAAAGAATGATAGTGTTGTGAAAGAGTTGTTGAGCTACAGTCACAAATTCCACTATGCAGTTTGGGCTACAAAAAATTGATGGAAGGATTCAATTTTTTTTATACTTATGAAAATTTCAATTCAAAAATGTGTTGGTACAATCAAGATTACACAAGGTGAAAGATTATGTCGGTGGTTGAAGAGTTTCCTGCCAACAAAGAAGTTACACCATATTGGTTTAACATGGTTTTCAACATGTGAAAATTCGTGAAGTGGTTTAGTTTCAAGTGAAGTATACTCTTCTTTAGGTGGAGTATGATAGTTTTTAAAACTATGATTAACGGTGAAGACAATGTGGAAATTCTTGGAGTTGTTTATCTTCAATTGAAATTTATTCTTCATGATAAAATATATGATTGTCGGTGATGATAATGTGAAATTCTTGATGGTTTATCTTTAAGTGAAACAAAATTTTCATGAAACAGTATAGTAGTTTTTAAAATTATGATTATCGGTGAAGACAATGTAAAAATTCTTGGAGTGGTGTAGCTTCAAGTGACTATACTCTTTATGATGGAGTATGATTGTCGGTGAAGACAATGAAAGTTTATGTATTCTTTTTAATCAAGGTGGAAATTGTTGAGATTGGTTGAAAATATACATGTTGACACTCTTTATGGTGGAGTATGATTATCGGTGAAGATAATGAAAGTTAATGTATTATTTTCATTCAAGATGGAGATTGTTGTGGTTGGTTGAAAATATAAATGTTGAAGTCCCGGATTGCTTAGTTTTGTGAACGAATAGAGAGTTCAAGGCTATATATATGATACAAGTTTTTTGAAGTCTCATATCGCTTAGTTTTATGAAGGAAGAGAGAGTCCAAGACTATATATAGGATTCAAACTCTTCATTCCAAGATGCATCGGTCAAAAACACTTTAAACTTGTATTTGATTTTCTTTGTTCTCTTAAAATCTTGTTTTATAGTGTTGTGAGATGTAGTTAAATATTTGTTCTGGAGGGTGTGAGTGTACTATGAGTCTGAGTTAGTTGAGGGTATATTATGTGTTGTAAAAAATTTCATATAGTGTAATTTTCTGGTTGTTTATTGAAAACGGTCGTGGTTCTTTTTCTCCAGTTTTGAAGTTTCCACGTTATGTTCTTATGTTGTGATTGTGTTCCTATTTTTTCTTTATACTTTGTTTATTTTTTCCCAACACTCGTAGTCGCTTCTCAGTCTTCTTACAATTTCACATGAAAATGTTTCTAAATCCCAACTTTTTATATTTATATAGCGCTAATTCACAATCTTTACCTACAACACTCCAATATTACAATTAACCCTACAACTTCTCTAAAAACTCAACTCCTTCTCCATTCTCAAAATTTTTTTAAAATTATTATTCAAATGAAATAAATATTTAATTCAAATAATTATTTAATTTAAAGTTTTTTATATTTTCTACTATTTCAATCCATTATAAAATTATTAATTATAGGATGATGCTAACTTGTGCCTTTGAAACACAAGCTAAGAAATTCAATTATTGAAAATTTGTATTAGAAAAAACAATTTAAAAATTAATTTTATACTTTAATTAAAGTTTATATATAATTTTTAAAATAATATTTTTAATTTAGTTCTTAACTTGTATTTTTGAGGCACAAGTTAGCATTATCCTTAATTATATATAATTATTTATAATAATTTTAATAATATTTTATTATAATAATTTAACAATGTTTTAAATTTAAATATAATAAATAGTTCACACTAACAATTACATAAAATTTACACGAAAATTGAACATTTCTATTTATATTGATGTTAACTTCGAGAAAGTCTTCATTTTAATTATAATAATAGAGGTTAGTTATTTGATGTGTAAGAATACCTTTTTTTTATTACTTTAAAATTCCATCGAATCATTTAATGTGTAAGTAAAAGATTATGAGGATAAGTGTTGTCAATGTAGAATTCTCGGTTCTACGTAACTTTCGCACTTGATTACACTAACATCGCTAAAATCAATCTTCTCTACAACGATTCTTCCAAATCACATCATAATCAAAATTTTCATTTTTTTAACAAAATTTCCATTTATGTCCCTCCTTCCTCATTGTCTCCATCTTTTCTTTTCTATTCAAGATTCAACAATCATTTTTTAAATCAAAAAATGGTTTATTTTTCCTTTTAACTATCAACCATTTTCTTAATTAAAGGGTAAATCAATCCTGTTTCTCTATTGTTGTTTTGTGATCATATACATATACACATTTCATAATCATTCATTTTCAAAACCTCATGTCACCACCATGTTCTTCATTAGTCCTTTTGTAAGAATTATGAGATCTAGTTTGAAATCCATATTCTGGAATTTTTGCATGATAACCTTGCAACATTGATCTTTTACGGTGGATTTTACATTGTTATCAATTTTCTCCCTAAAGAAAAGGCACCTCATAGGGTTAATATGGGGTGCATTTGCTCAAAATATTCTTCAAACAAAGAAAGAGTTGAAGAAGAATATGAAAAAGAAAGTGAATGGAATAAATCTTCAGTGCAATTAGTTGCACCAACACAACTGAATGGGGTTGGCATCACCATTACAATGGATGGTGGTGATTATATTCCACGTTTGGAGAAGGTACCATCCCAAGTGTTTCAAAGAGTAGAAGTGGATGGTACCAAAAGCCAACATCATAGATGTAAGACAATGAGTTCTGATATTGGTGAAAGAAAGCCAATAATGAGTAGAATACTCAGTGTGCAAAATTTTTCAGGAGAGCAATATGTTGATTCGGGATGGCCGTTATGGTTGTCTTCAGTTGCATCCGAGGCCATCAAAGGTTGGGTTCCTAGACGGGCCGACACTTTCGAAAAACTAGACCAAGTTAGTTCTATTAATATCATCATCATCTTTTTTTTGTTCATAACTTGCCTAAATAATAGATTTTTACCATCAAGTTTGTATATGCAGATTGGACAGGGGGCTTATAGTAGTGTGCATAAAGCGGTTGACCGCGAAACGGGTAAATATGTTGCTTTGAAGAAAGTTAGATTTTCAAGTGGAGATGTTGAAAGTGTTCGTTTTATGGCAAGGGAAATCTATATCATGCGTCAACTTAATCATCCTAATATCCTGAAACTTGAAGGTCTTGTAACATCTAGAACTTCAACTAGTTTGTACCTTGTTTTTGAGTACATGGAGCATGACCTTGCTGGATTAGCAGCTAGACCTGGTATCAAGTTTACTGAACCACAGATAAAATGTTACATGAAGCAGCTACTGAGTGGGCTAGAACATTGTCATAAAATGGGTGTGTTACACCGTGACATCAAGGGTTCTAATCTATTAGTGGACAATAAAGGAAATCTTAAGATTGGAGATTTTGGTCTAGCGACGGTTTATGAACCGAATAGCAAAGTGCCATTGACAAGCCGTGTTGTAACTCTTTGGTATCGAGCACCCGAACTTTTACTAGGTGCTACTGACTATGGTACTGGAATTGACATGTGGAGTGCCGGTTGCATTCTTGCAGAATTGTTGGTGGGGAAGCCTATCATGCCAGGAAGAACAGAGGTATATATATGTATATGCATCATTCTTGCATATTTATTTGTCATGTTCTAGATAATGAAAGTGATTTAATTTGTGAAGGTGGAACAAATGCACAAAATTTTCAAGCTTTGTGGTTCTCCATCAGAAGAATATTGGCAAAGAACAAAACTTCCATATGCAACAAGTTTTAAACCGCAAAACTCTTACAAACGACAAATTGCAAATACGTTTAACAATTTTCCTCCCACTGCATTGGCTCTTGTAGACAAGCTCCTCTCAATGGAACCAGAACAAAGAGGATCTGCAACTTCCGCACTTAATAGTGAGGTGTAATTCTCAAATACATCATTGTATGAATTTTGAATTTCTCAATTAGCTCCAACAACAAACTAACCTTTTAATATTCATGTCAGTTTTTCACTACAGATCCTCTACCTTGTGATCCTTCAGCCTTACCCAAGTTTCCGCCAAGCAAAGAGTTTGATGTCAAGCATCGTGACAAAGATTCAACAAGGTGTTTGCTTTATCTTACATTAATTATATAGTACTATTTTTCATGCACGTTCATTGAACTTTATATATTTGTTTATATTAGAAAAAATACTGAAGCAATTAAAGAACGCGGACCGGGAACTGTTGTAAGAGAAACAGGAAAAACCAAAGCATTAAAAACACCAGATTATAATGGTCGGGGAGATATATCGTTTCAGGTAACATATTTTAAGAAAACATGCATGTTGATTATTCTCATTATTTAGTACTGTTTTTTATTCTTATGATTGGTTTGAACATTAACAGAGCAAATCAAATACTAAAATGTCTCATCTTAAATATGAATCCCAAGACGATGAAGAGTCGAATAACAAGTGTGAACCAAGTAGAGCATCCATGCACAATGGTTATACAACATTTATGCACAGTACAACAGGGCCATCGTCGTTATGCAATAAGAGACTAGAACCGTATAAGAATAATGTTTCAGAATTAAGAACGCAAAGGTCTAATGTGAATCAAAAAGCAATAGATTTCTCTATTTCAATTAAAAAGGAACAAGATATGTCAGGGCGAGAATCAGGCATGCCTAAGAAAAATAGAATCCACTGTTCAGGACCATTGATGGCTACAGGTGGTAACATTGATAACATGCTTAGAGAACATGAACGGTTAATGCAAGATGTTTTTCGTAGTGTTAAGAAAGCTAATCCGTAAGGAAATTTTTCGAGTGTTTTTTTGGATGTGAAACACTAATTTTCCATGTATATTTCTACACAAAAGGGTGGTTCAATGTAAAATGAATGATAAACCAAAGAAACTCAAAAAGTTTCAAATGACAAGAATTTGATATGTATCATAGATGGTTAACAGTTATTGATGCAAAAATATGTTGTTGATAATCGAGGCTTTTGTTCTTGACATGTTGCTTGATATTGATGGAGAAGCTACAGTGAAATTTCTTTCATTTCTTTTATATTATCTTTGATAATTAGTTTATATCAGTCGAAAGTAATTTAGAAATCAAAATCATCCATAGTTTCATTAGGCCACAACTTTTGTGGTAAGCTGGGGGACTAACCAATACAAAAGAAGAAAAATATAGATGGCCAAAATTGCTAGAAAAAAAGTGGGCATTAAATGGCCAAAATTGCTAGAAATCTAACGAGGATTGACTTTAATCGAAAATATTATGAATTGGAAATACTTTTTGTAATTATTTTAGTTTTTTTTTATAAGCAAACATATTTAAAGAGGAATATTAGGAGTATTCCAATCTGAATTGAAAATACTTTTTGTAATTATTTTAGTTTTCTTTTATAAGCAAATATATTTAAAGGGGAATATTAGGAGTATTCCAATCCAAACATTCAGAGTACAAAAAAAATAAGGTTTCAACCCCAAATAAATAATTTATAACATTCACAAGTCTCCTATTAAAAATTAGAAGGACTTTTACACCATTCATAATAATTACATTTAAACTTACGATTTCAAAGACAAAGCTAGCCGCCACCAAAAAAAGTGAACAATTTTATGTACAATTCCATTAGCATTACCAATTACATTGTTGAAAATTATCTGATTTCTCATCCACCAAATGCACCAGCATGTACATAACCAGATCATAGAAATTGATTTCTTCGAACTCCTGCCCACCATCTTAAAAAACCAATCCATTAAATGGTCACAACAGGTACTTTCCTCACTTCAAGCTGCCCCAACCCAATCAAATATTTTCATCCAAACCAAGCTCATACGAGAACATGATATAAACAGATGATTAATGGATTCAACCGAATTGAAGGAGAACACACAAACCAATTCATGACAATTCAATATTACTCCCCTGACCGTCAGATTTGATAGCGTAGGAAGCCTATCCAAACACAATCTCCCCCCAAAAAATTTACCTTCATTGGGATATTGGTTTGCCACAATAAATTAAGGGAAATCTTGAGAGTAAACCTTACACTTTCCTAGATTGACGTAAAGACCTTTTGAATGAAAGAATTCATCAAAAACTTCCAAGATCAGCTGCACAAATTTGGTGTCTCCCCTGGAAAATAACAATAAATCATTTGCAAAGTTCATGTCTATAAGATTCAACTTGTCACATTTGGCATAGAAGCTGAAATCTGGAATCCTGCTCAACTTTTGTAACTTTCTGTGCAAATACTCTATAACCACTACAAACAGCAAAGGCGAGATGGGATCCCCCCTGTCCGAGACCCCTTTTTGCTTCCATCTCCTTGGTATAAACCTCGTTGATGTTGAATTTATAGGTCGCAGTTGTGACAACACTCATCACCCACTTGACAAACTGCTTATGAAAGCCTATATCCTTCAAAATAACCTTTAGAGCCACCCAGTCAACCGTGTCATAGGCTTTCTGAATATCCATTTGAAACATACAACTTGGGACTCCACTCTTCCTTGAATAACCTTTGATTAATTCATAGGCCAAAAGCACATGATCATGAATTTTCTGCTTTGGAACAAATGTTGCATGATTATTGCTGATGATACTTCCCAAAACTCTACTCATTCTATCAGCCATGATTTTGGAAATTACTTTGTATATTGTTGAGCAGTAAGCTATGGGACAAAAGTCTTTCATGGTTTTTGCTTTTTGATACTTGGGTATGAGAGTTACAAGGGTCCCTATCGGAAACCCAGCAAACCCAGACAAAAATATTAAGAGAAAAAAAGCAGCCACACACACAAACAGAATGATTGTTTTATTAAATGATGAAATAGTGGAATTACAGAAAGGGAAATGACCCTAAATTTGACACAGAACTAGCTCCTATAGGTGGCTAGAGCCTCCTATTCATGACTAAGCAAACAGAATCTTTTCCAAGGTAATCTTCTCAACCTCTCACTCATTCCTTATATTGTGGAATCATACAATCATTCTCTCTTTACACCTCTAACAAAATTACTGCTCTTTCCCCTTTTTGCCCCTTCTAGAATACACTCTCCATACCTTAGGCTCATTGGGCTGATGATAAACCATAACCTCATTTGTCTCATTCCCTGTCACGTGATCTATATCAATACTCCCTTCTGAAACTTCAACCTTGTCCTCAAGGTGAAATGTCGAGAACTGACTTCTAATTGTTACAACATCTTCCCAAGTTGCTTCATTTGTGGTCTGACCCTTCCACTGCACTTCTTCGACTTGTTTCGTAACCTTCCTAGACACTAACACCTTGTCAGGTTCTGGCATAACAGGTTCTTCACCTTCCAATTGCTCAGGCAATTCCTCTTCACCCTGATAATCCCCTACGGCTTTCTTAAGCAAAGACACATGGAAAACGGGGTGGATTTTTACCCTTCAGGTAGCTTTAGCTTATATGCTACAGCACCAACTTTGTCAATCACCGGGTATGGATCAAAATACTGTGCTGCTAACTTGGCATGAATACGCGAAACCACAGACTGTTGTCTATGTGCCCTCAGTTCAACAAACACTCATTCTCCAATCTCAAAGGATTTTTCGACTCTGTTAGCATCTGCCATGAACCTTTAGCAATTGATCTCGCAATTGCCGTAAAGCCTCATCCCTGTCCTGCAACTCCCTTGAAACAGCTTCAACACGTGTCTCGCCAATTCCCCAACGAACCAAAACAGGTGCCTTCCTTCCATATAAAACCTCAAAAGGGGTTTGTTGGGTTGCAGAATGATACATGGTATTGAAATAGAATTCTACCCATGAAATCCAATTCATCCACACTTTGGGTTGATCGGCAGCAAAACAACGAAGAAAGGTTTCGAGACAACAATTAATTACCTCGATTTGTCCATTGGACTCGGGATGATAGGCTGAACTAAACTTCAAATGTGTTCCCTATAATTTGAAGAGTTCTCTCTAAAAATGACTCATGAATATAGGGTCCGGAACGCTCACAATTGATATTGGGATACCGTGCAGCCTAATAATTTCTTTGACAAATATCTCAGCAAGACTTCTGGTCGTATAAGGGTGTTTGAGGGGCACAAAGTGGGAATACTTAGATAGTCTATCGACTACCACCATCACTGCTTCATACCCTTTGGATTTAGGCAACCATGTTATGAAATTCATTGATAAGTCTTCCCACACCTTCGTTGGAATTGGTACAGGTTGGAGAAGACCTCCTGGAGATCCTGCTACATATTTATGTCTCGGACAAGTATCACACCCTTTTACAAATTCTTGAACAGTACTCTTCATTCCTGGCCAATATACATTAGCAGTTATTCTTCTATAAGTTCTCAAGAACCGTGAATTCCCTCCTTGAGGTGAACTATGAAATTCCTTCATCATTCTCGGAATCATCGTAGACTGTGATGACATAATTAACCTCCCTTTGTATAGCAATGTGCCATGTTGTATATTGAACTTAGGATGTGTTATAGGGTTTACCGATAAATCCTGCCAAATTTTCTTAAGCTTCTCATCAGAATGTATCTCTTGCTACACCTGCTGAAACTCTTCCCAAAATGGGATAGGACACAAAATTATTGAATTCACCTTCATCTTGAATTCGTGATAAAGCATCTGCTCTTTGATTCAATCTCTCAGACTTGTAACGTATGTCAAAATTGAAACCCAACAACTTAGCTACCCAACTTTTTTGCTCACCAGTTATGATTTTTTGTTGTAACAAATCCTTAAGACTTCTTTGATAAGTCGACACCACAAATTTCCTTCCCAATAAATAGGGCCTCCAATGTTGGATCGCTAACACACAAGCCATCAGTTTTTTCTCGTATGCAGATTTTGCCAAGTTTCTCACACCTAAAGCCTTACTAAAGTAAGCAATATGATTTTTACCTTGTCACAAAATAGCCCCAACGCCAGTTCCCGATGCATCACACTCAGTAACAAATTCCTTCTCAAAATCCGGCAAAGCAAGCACCGGTGTCTCTATCAATTTCTTCTTCAACAATTCAAAAGCATGTTGTGCCTCTCGTTACCATCCAAACACATCCTTCTTGTTCAATTCCTTTAGGGGCTTCGCTATTTTTCCATAATCACTAATGAATTTTCTATAATAGCCAGTTAATCCAAAAAATCCTCTCACCCCCTTTACATTCTTTGGTACCAGCCGCTGCACCACGCTATTGTACTTGTTGGGATCCACGACAACTCCTTCTTCCAATATCATGTGCCTCAAATATTCTGTCTTGCTTTGCCCAAATTGGCATTTCTTCCTATTAGCCTTCAGACTATGTGTTTGCAGAATGTGAAGTACTTGGCTCAATTGATTCATATGATGCTTCCTGTCTTTACTATATTTGAGAATGTTGTCAAAAAACACCAACACCCCTTTTCTCAAAAATTATTTAAATACTTCATTCATAAGCCCTTGAAAAGTTGATGGATCATTCGTCAAGCCAAACGGCATAACCAAGAATTCATAATGCCCCTCATGTGTCTGAAACGTTGTTTTGTGCACATCCTTACTCTTTACCCTAACTTGATGGTACTCGGATTTTAAATCTAATTTGGAGAAATATCGTGCGTCGTATAACTCATCTAACAATTCTTCAATCACCAGAATTGGGAATTTATCCGGGATTGTCATCTTGTTAAGAGCACGATAGTCCACACACATACGCCATGTGTGATCCTTCTTCCTTACAAGTATGACGGAACTGGAATATGCACTTGAGTTGTGCCTAATGATTTCAGTTTCCAGCATCTCGTGAACTCGTCTCTCTATTTC